GCAGGGCAAATTTTGGGTCAAAGTTTTTGTGGGTGGGTTGGCATTCCCCTCTCTCCACTAAGAGTCCTGTCTAATCAGAGGGTGTCTTCTTCAGTCTCCATGACCCCTGCTATTAGGATCTTCAGCTAGATTCAACCTATATTCTTCCAGAAGCCTACCCTGTCTTAGGTTTCCAAAACTCAAGTTCAAGTTGGTCAAAGACCTCAACATAAAACCAGGTACACCAATCTATTAAAAAAGAAAATGGGACAGAGCCTGGAACTCATTGGCACAGGAGACAGCTTCCTAAACAGAACACAACAGCTCAGGCTCTAAGACCAACAATTAATAAATGGATCTTTTGAAACTGAAAAGCTTCTGTAAGGCAAAGGACACTTCTCAATAGAATGAAATGGCAGTCTACAGATTGGGAAAAGATCTCCACCAATCTAAAATCCAAAATATATAAAGAACTCAAGAAACTGAACACCAACAAACAAAATAATTAAAAATGGTGTACAGATGAAAAACTCAAGTGACAACACATGCTGGAGAGGTTGTGGAGAAAGGGGAACCCTCCTCCACTGCTGGTGGGAGTGTAAACTTGTACAACCACTCTGGAAATCAATTTGGCGCTTTCTCAGACAACTAGGAATAGCGCTTCCTCAAGATCTTGCAATACCACTCCTAGGCATATATCCAAAAGAGTCTCAAGTACACAATAAGGACATTTGCTCAACCATGTTTGTAGCAGCCTTATTTGTAATAGCCAGAAGCTGGAAACAGCCCAGATACCCCTCAACTGAAGAATGGATGCAGAAATTGTGGTACATCTACACAATGGAGTATTACTCAGCAATGAAAAATAAGAAAATCATGAAATTTGCAGGTAAATGGTAGGACTTGGAAAGGATCATCCTGAGTGAGCTGTCCCAGAAGCAGAAAGACACACACGGTATATACTCACTCATGTAGACATATAACATAGGATAAAGCTACTAAAATCTGTACATCTAAAGAAACTAATCAAGAGAGAGGATCCTGACTAAAACGCTCAATCCCCATCCGGAAAGGCAAAGAGGATGGACATCAGAAGAAGAAGAAAACAGGAAACAAGTTAGGAAACTGCCACAGAGGGCCTCTGAAAGGCTCTATCCTGCAGACTATCAAAGCAGATGCTGAGACTTACAGACAACTGTTGGGCAGAGTGCATGGAATCTTATGTAAGAAGTGGGAAATAGTAAGATCTGGAAGGGACAGGAACCCCACAAGGAGAGAAACAGAACTAGAAAATTTGAACACAGGGGTCTTCCCAGAGACTCATACTCCCAACCATGTACCTGGCATGGAGATAACCTAGAACCCCGGCACAGATGTAGTCCATGGCAGTTTAGTGTCTAAGTGGGTCACATAGTAATGGGAAGAGGGACTGTCTCTGACATAATCTGATTGGCCTGCTCTTTGATCACCTCCCCCTGAGGGGAGAGCAGCCACAGAAGATGAAAATGCAGCCACTCCTGATGTGATCTGATAGAGTAAGATCAGAAGGAAGGAGAGGAGGACCTTCCCTATCAGTGGACTTGGGGAGGGGCATGCATGAAGAAGGGGGAGGGAGGGTGGAATCGGAAAGGGAGGATGGAGGGGCTTATGGGGGGATACAAAGTGAATAAAGTATAATAAAAATGGCATACAGAGCTAAACAGAGGAATCTCTAATGGCTGAGAAGTACTTCAAGAAATGCTCAATGCCTTTAGTCATCAGGAAAGTGGAAATCAAATGACTGTCAGATTCCATCTTATACCAGTCAGAATGACTAAGATCAAAAGCTCAAGTGACAGCACATGCTGGCGAGGATGCAGAGAAAGGGGAACCCTCCTCCATTGATGGTGGGAGTACAAACTTCTACAACTACATTGGAAATGAATCTGGCAGTTTCTCAGAAAATTGGGAATAGCTCTACCTTAAGACCCAGCTATACATCTCCTGGGCATATACCCAAAAAATGCTCTACCATATAAGGACATTTGCTCAACTGTGTTTATAGTGACTTTATTCATAATAGGCCGAATCTAGAAACAACCTAGATGTCCCTCAACCAAAGAATGGGTAAAGAAAATGTGGTACATTTACACAATGGAATACTATTCAGCTATTAAAAACAAGGAAATCCTGAAATTTGCAGGCAAATGGATGGAACTAGAAAAGATCATCCTGAGTGATGTAACCCAGACCCAGAAAGATACTTATGGTATGTACTCAGTTATAAGCGGATTTTAGTCATATAGTACAGGATAGACATAAAATTCATAGATCCAAAGAAGATAAATAACAGGAGAATCCAAAGGATGATGCTTGAATCTCATTCAGAAGGAAACAGAATAGACAGTGGAGGTGGCTGAAGAGAGGGAACGAGGTAGGAGAGCGAGTGCAGAGAGAAATGAAGGTGGAGGCCAGACCTGAGGAGAATGAGGGCAGGAGGACAGAGGGTCTGAGAGAGGAGAGAAACCATGGGCAGGGACATCCGTGTGACAAGCTTCTGTTTCTGACATTGCTATTTAACAAGTCCTGGGAGTGCCTCATTGCCCAGAGTGTCCACCGTTACAATACTCTCTCTGATGAGGGCATGTGGGATGAAAAGAGGGTAAAATCCTTTCCTCCAGTGGGCTGGGTAGAATGAAGAACTCTCTAGGCCTCTGATGTGGTTTAGATGAACTGCTTTGTTTAGAGATTCAGTTCTGGAAACAAGCAGAATAAAATGTTTCCTTAACCCAAGTTCTATCTCATTCTTACTAAGAAACAGGAATCTTCATGAAGCCTGTAGGCAAAGACTTTTAGCAGAGAGAATATACTATAAAAGCTATTGGGAGCCATGTACAAGGTGAGCTGAAGTCCACAGACTATTCAGCTGGTGCAAAACGGCTCCGGATTTTCAGCATCTCAATTTTTTATTTTGTTTTTACATCTATGGTTTAGACAGTTTTTATTGTTGTTACAGTATGACCAGATTTGACTCGTATCAGAGTTTTCATTTGCTATCAACTTTCCTCCTCAGTTCAACTATAACTTTTCTACATCTTTTTTTTTTTTTTTTCCTGGAAGGTTAGCTGATCTGCTGTGAGTGCTGTTAAATGACACACAGATTCCTTGTTTATTTGAAAAACCAAAGGGTTTTCTGTAGCCTCTATGGAGTTAGTTTTCACCCTGAATCTTCCCAGGAGTCTAAAAATGGTCAACCCTGAAAACATAAATACAAGCCACATTCTAGACCAAGCAGGTTGTACTCACATATTTAAGAAAGACCCCCTTCCCCAACACACATGAATGTAACAATAGTTAATGAAAAAAAAGAGGCTATCAATTTGAAGAGCAAGGGACCCTATTTGGGAGAGTTTGAGGGAAGAAAGTTAAGGGGGAAATGATGTGACTGTAATTTCAAAATTAAAGAAATAATTAAAAACTGATGTAGTAGCAAGCAGGGTTTTAGGTGAGATCATGTCAGAGCATGAGCACTCTCAAGGCTCAGCTGCTGCACTCAGGGGCTTCGCATTCCTCCTTCCCAGGAGGGGAGAACATGAACCCCAGAGCCAGGTGCCCAAAGTCAAGTCCTCCGTAGCCATTTCCAAGCTTTGGAAGCCTTGAAAACATTTGCCATTTTTTTAAAGCCAATCTGTCTTCTCTCTCTCTCTCTCTCTCTCTCTCTCACACACACACACACACGAAGAATACAACTTTAAAGAGCTGCAAAGATTAAATGAGATACTATATTTAAAACATGCTATCTGACACATAGTAAGTGCTCAGTGAAACAGTAGACAGATTAAAAGCAGAAAATAACAGTTGTCTGAGAGGCTCCCAGAGACTTGCTATCTGGTACCTGGTAACTAAATGGCTTCATCACAGAGGTTTCCATTGTGATTTCAGTAAATGAGTTACTAGCATCACGTGTCTTCATTTATTCATTGAGTGAAGATTAACTGGTATAGTACGTGTGAAGATACTTTCCAAAACCAGGTTTAACCAGAGAGTAAATGATACTGTAAGTATGGGTATGGACGAAGCATATGGCCCAGTAAGAACTTTTGTTCTTCAAACATGGACATCTGACTTTAAATCTCCAGACTCCATATAAACAAACTGGACATGGCCACACATGCCCGTAAACTCATACTGCAGGGCAGACAGGCCGATTCTGAGAGCTCACTGGGCAGTCATTATAGCCAACTAGTGAGCCCCGGATTCAGTGAGAGGTCTCGTCTCAAGGGAATAATGTAGAGAGCGACAGAGGAAGACAGCAGTGTTTTCTTCTGGCCTCTGCACACGCAAGAACACAGTGGAGACAACGGTGCCACGTCGGGTCTATCCGGGCTGGTTTTGGCTGTCTCAGCCTCACACTCTTAAGTATCTGAGTATTACCGGTTTCTTATATTTATATAGTAGGCATGCAGCCAACAGTGGAAGGGTACAGAGATAGATAAGGAAAAATTACCTTTTAGATTAGAACGGCTTCTTCCATAGTGATAGCACTATGCTGTGGAAAAGGTATGGAAACATGAACCTAATGTTTGAGAAGACACTGAATAGAGTGTATGGATACATGGTTGCCGCTGCTTATGCCTTTATTATTTACATTGTAAATTTGCTGTGTTTACTTATATTTCTAAGAGCAAGTGAGGACTTTAAATTCAGCTATTAATTTTGCTATTAGATAACAGTTGTTTACATAAAAATGTCATCTTCTGGGATAAAGACTGTTGCATTTGAAGTCAGTTTGTCCTGCCCTTGTTCCTGGTGAAATCATAAGCACATGGTCACTGGAAACTTTTTAGCATCAGGGTTAAGTTCATTTTGAATGAATATCCTATCCCTATGAACACACTAGCTGTCACACTGGCACATAAATGTCCAGTGTACCATCTTAAATGTCCTAAAGTGGGAACTCTACTGTGAGTAGAACGAGGAGAAAAAAACAAGGAAGGCTGCAACTGCAGAAGTTCTATGAAAGCATGCTGGGAGTCACATAATGAAAAAGCAGATATTTTTATTATGATGTTTATCCATATTTGGCATTGCTGTAAATGGCTGACTAACATTTACTGCCAATTCAGTACAAATGTGTGGTTTGGTAATACCAGAACAGCAAATTTAAATGAAAAATAAAAGTTAAACATTTCCACACAAAATTTTACAGTCTGACATTTCACTGTGTAGGTAAAAAGACAGTTTTTTAAACTACAGGTTATTCAGCATGAATAAGAAACTACAACTTTTATTTTTAAACAGGAGTCACTGGTTTTTAATTTTTACACATTTAAAAATTACTGTGATAAAAATAATGAAAAAGCTTTTAATAATGCCATACACAGTATAATATAGATTTGTCCCCATTATATAGCATTTGTTTAATATACAAAATAGAATATCGACACACTGAAATCTATATGTAGTTAAGCAGGTTATTTAGGAGGGTATTTTCATACAGCCATTTATCAGAAAATAAAATCCTTTCAGGCATGTTCTAGATAGAAGCCAACCCTTTCCTGGAAACCTGGTCACCAATCCTGATAGACCAGGCTGACTGAAAACAGTCTGGAAAGTGAGAAACCTTTCATCTGAAGTGGTTTGCAGTGTCTTTTGCACACTCCATTTCACCTAACACTGAAACCAGGCACATAAGAAACACATTCAGCTACAGCTTACTGTTGGGGTGACCAACCAAGATCCAAAGCCCCGGAAGGCTGCCGTGAGCTCTGAGGGCTGACGATCAAAGAACAATACCATGGTTCACCCTGCGGTGATACTGCCTCATTGTACACAAGAGGGAGCAAATTCTGGGACCCGTGTCCAGCTGGAATGGCTTGTCCTGTCTCACCCCAGCCCTGTCCTCTTCTTACTCTGCTGATGAGGCTGGCTGCTCCACATGCTTGCCAGAATTCACCCTGCACTCATCACCAGGGAACGCCACACACTAAACATGTCCCTTGTTCCTTTGGGATGGTCTGGCTTGTTGTTTTGTTTTTCCTAAAAGAAGGCAGTGCTTCTTAGGTTCCCTTCCCTTCCCCAAGCTTCCTGTCGCCTCTCTTCTACTTATACAGTATCCCAAGTCAATGCCTAAAATACCCAGAATGTCCCTTTATTTTCCTACCAGTAACTAAAGATACTTTTCAAGATGTGTTCTGAGTCATGTAGGCATGTCACCAACTCTCACTGAAGTTATAAAATCTAGTTTGGAACGATATGAAGCCATACACAAAAACTAAGCTGCACTCAAACAGTACCATATCTTTCTCACTTATACTCAATCAGAATAATAACAGCTTTCTTCTTCCTTACATACCAAAGGAGCACAGCTCTTTCTACATTTAAAATGGAGAGCCTTCTATAATAGTTTTATGAATGTCTGTTCCCTTCTACTAATAACAAAGTGCATACATCTTTCTTTTTCTTTTTTGGAGCTCTATTTTTTGAAAGCCAAGCTGGTTGGGACTGAAAGTAGATTTATGTGTGATGTGCTTTCTGCTTTTTAACCATATAACATTCCATAAATGTACAATAATCTATTTTTGAGAAGTTCATTTTGAACCTTAACACTGTCATTGATAATATTCAAGTGGTATTTCTTAGGCACCATAAATTTCACATCCAGCTGGGTTACAATTATCTTAAAGTACTTTGAGACCAATTTAAACCATTACAAAGTGAACATTCCCTTTTAGAGAGAATTCAAAAAGCAAACGATTACATTTTTTTATTAAATAATTTCTGTAAAATACTGAAAATAACAACATTCAATAAGCATTCAAAGAAAACATGTCCTCATTTTACTTGGAAATGGACTATTGTAGGATAGAAAGGATTAGTGTATTATTGGCTTCCTATGGGATTCTGTAGTATTTACATATTGCTGGTACCTCTATGCATATTATTGCCAAACGTCGAAAGCCTCTGTTTCTGTTAGCCTGTGGGGAGGCTGCGTGTGAACATGACCCCGTTGGCAGATGGTGCCCGTAACTACGTAACGCCACCCCTCTGTCCTGATTGTTAGCTCAAAGGGAAACTTAATGAACTATCCTGCACTGACAGGGTCATGGCTGGGTAAGGATGGTTAGAACGGGAGGTGGGGAATCAGCTCCTTGTGAGCTGACTGGGTCAAAGCCTCAGAACCTCCACTGCGCGCAGGGCCAGTCTCTAGCTCCCTCTTTCCACCTTACGGCAAACCTGCTTTGATATCTAAGGGCACTGAGGCCTGTATGATGCTCTTACACACTATAAATCATATAGGATATCCATCAACGTTTCTTTGACCCCTACAAAAAATATAACATGTCATGATAAAACAATCTCATCTAAAAATCATTCTTATTTTACACTATACAGCTATTTTACAGTCATTTTAATAAATTGCATGTAAAGCTGCAGTAGCCCTTCCCTTCCCAGATTAGTGAATACCAATATGATATATATCTGAAACTATAACTAAATACAAAAATATATTAGAAGTTTCATATTTTTAATATTAGATTTTCAGTTTTCTATTACACAAATAATTTGGCCACCTTAAGTAGAAATCAGATTTCTTGTGGCTTAGCAAGTGTGTTAAGCTTTGAGTTCACAGAAAGTTGGTAAGGTGCACACAGAAAGGGCTACTACAGCTTCTGTTCTCTTAATTCTCAGTGTGAAGTTCACAAGACTTGTGTTAAATTCTATGGCACATGTAGGGATGTGTATTGGACAAACATGGATGCCTGACAGTCAGTTCTAAATAACAGAAATCAGTAGCTGATTTTCCTGTACCACCAGGAAAGCTAGACCAATTGGTGACAGGTGGGGATGTGAAAATGGGTGTCTAGCCATTCTTGCCATGTTAGAGATTTAGTTTGGGGGTAAAGTTTAATGAGAGAAGTTACTTGGTCTGATTAAAACAATCTCTCAGCTTTATCACAGCTGGTTATTGGGAATAACAACTTTAAGATGTTACACAAACCACTCCAGAAGGTCCTGAAAGAACTGATTTACAAACTTTGTTGCTATCTGGACACTGTAGAAATGGGGCGTTAGGTGTGAGCAGGGGCCTTTTGGTAGTTACTGTGTAACTATTAGTCTTCTGTAACCATCGTCCACAGTTTTTCCCAGCAGGTCACTGGACTAGGTGCGCTACACCAGTTAGGACGGTTACTCTGCACAACCTATATAATTCTCCGTGGAAGCAGATATATACAGAGTAAGAGCTTTTGACAAGAATACTGGAGATCTGAGTCAATTTCTGTGGTCTTCTGATAGCTGAGTGCCATCAGGGGAGGAGCACCGACCCATTTTCACACGGAGATTAATGTTAGCGTCTAGGAGAGCTGCGAACCAGCTGCCCATCTTAAACAGCTGTACAATAACTGGAATACAAAAATTATTTAAGAAAAACGAGCAAGCATAGTTCACTGAATATAAAGGAAATTGTTAAAACCAGACAGTAATAGCTATAAAAGGCACAACTTCCCTTTTCTGATATACACTTGTAAACTTTTTTCAGGTTTCCATGCATAAATCAAAATACTATACTAACTATACATGGGAAAAATACACCAACAGAAAGTCTAGAAAGTTTCATCCAGCCAACTGAAAGTATGGGCAGAAGTTGATCACATGGACTTTGGGCACTGGTGGCTTAGGTGCGGTCCTTCTCTGAGATGGACGTGCCTCCACAGAACTGTTTCTAGTTTCTGTTACACACCAACCAATACACTGCACTGTCTGCTTTCCCATCACTTGAAAGTGAGGGCTCAACTGCTTCTGTTTGCCAACTCTTGGCCCTCTATAAACCACATGTAGTGCGTATTTAAAACAAAACAAGACAAAAACAAAAAACAACAAAACATCTACAAGACAAATTGATAAGTTTGTACAGTAAAAGCTATGAACTTTCTTTAAGGCAACCTTTCTTAGTAAGGCAGTCATTTTTGATGAAACAGAAGCTTTTTGATATTTCCATTTGAATATTTTGGTATCTGGTTAGTGATGATTTCAGCCAACATCTCTGGGAATTCAACACTCATGGTCTTATCCAAAAATGTTTGGAAGCAGTAGGTAAGTAGATTTTCAACCACCTGCAAGCAAAGATATGGTAACAATGAGGCTTCAAAGCACAGTAGTGTGAATGGCCTCCCCTTCCCGCATATGTCCTGATTATGCTTCCCCTCCCTCTACTCCTCCAAGTTCCTCTGCACCTCTCCTCTCATGAGAAAAGAACATGCTTCTAAGAGATAATAATAACATAGCAAAATAAAATAAAAACTACCACATTAGAGTTGGACAAGACAAACAAACAGAAGAAGAGAAACCCAAGAGAAGGAATAAGCTCCATGAACCCACTCATTCACGCAGTCAGGCATCCCATAGAAACACTAAATGGGAAGCCATAATAGATATGCAGAAGACCTGGTATAGATCCTGTGCTCATGATCTGCTGGCCCTTAATTTCATCAGAAACATACCAATCTTTGTTGGAAATCCTCAGATAAGAAAAATAACTTTAAATAAAATAAGCACTTAAGCACAAAAGGCATTTTAAATTTCTTAAGCTGTCTGCAGAATGAAAGCATGGCATGCCTGTAATCCCAGCAGGATCAAGGAAGACTGTGAATCTGAGGCCAGCCTGGACTAGTACCGAAATACAGAAAGATGAAACTTGTGTAATTTACTAGCTTTATTCATGTAGAACAGGGAATTCTACCTTTCAAAAAGAAGTGCTATTAAACTGTGTAGTAACATAGTAACTTTTATGCAAATCACTAGACTAATAAGAGTTAAGAGAAATGTGTACAAAATTGAAGTCTACAAATTTAACTTGAATAATCACTAAAATATATAACTTTAGGGAGGGGATGACTTATTGGTATATAATTATGTATCACATACATACATATATATATCCAGATTAAAACATACCTTACAGCCTACAAAATTCTGTTTCTCTGTCTCTTTGGGTTTTTGAGACGGGGTCTCTCTTACCCAGCTCTGACAGTCCTGGAGCTCCCTATGCAGACCAACCCGGCCTCAAGCTCTGTGACTGAAGGCATGTCACCACACCCAATGTTATGTTTTTCTGTTTTGTTGTTGTTTTGGCTTTGTGTTTGGTACTTACATCATGCATGGAGTCCAGAAGTTTTGTCAGTTGATAAAACCGCTGCCAGTTCTGACTGGAATTTCCTTCCCTTTTGACAATGGCTTTTCCTAGCTCTTTGATATAGGTCATTCGGATTTCATCAAATAACTCCTGGCTCTTCAGACCTTCCTTAGGAACTAAAAGGTAAGATGAAGTCAGTTAGAGGATTTCCTTCTGTGACTTGTCATGCACCAAGTAGGACATTTCATGCATAGTTCATTGCTGCAACGTACTTTTAATGCATTCTAAAAGTCTATGCATTTTCAAAGGACTGTAGGACTCTAGCTAAGTGAAAGTATAGGGTAACTGACAACTGGGAGTCAGAAACATGGGTGAGCCAATTGTTTTTTTATCTTACACAATGGGAGCTAGTGATGACACCTGAGGGTGCAAACACTCTCATCTTGTGTATAGTTAATTTGTGATGTACACCAGAGAACTTGCTTTAAAAATCTTTCATTTTGTAAACCTTATACTGTACCAGGTAAGGTTAGTAGCTACTGAAAATACCACCAGAAAAAGGTGCCTACAGGCGTATTTGGGAGTGTGTTAACTATTATGAATCGAAGTCCTGGAGATATACTAAAAACAAATCCTACACAGCCTTTCATTTTAGTTACTTTTTAAAAGGGAGTTATTTAAATACCTTATTGAGAAGAAAAAACTGAACTAGACCCACTTTATTATTAATCATCATTTTTATCTTCCTTCAGTTTCTTGGGCTTTTGTTTGTTTTTTAAGCATCACAACTCTCTTTTTACTGACTCCGTTTCCCCTTTATCCCTGAAGGCAATACTCTTCTTGAGTTTTTTCCTTCATGTTAGCAGTACAGCAGGCTTTTCCTAAGTTCTACCAGTTGTCCTACATTTCCCCAGTTTTTCTTTGCAGTATCACAAGGGAATTAAGCCCAGACATTCTCTTTCCAGGTTTTCCTTTCTTTTTCTCCTTTACACTGATCTTATTTTCTACTTCCCTCTTAGGGGAATGCAGGTTTTCATCTCTCTTTCTTGTCTACCTTTGCTCTGTCCTCAGCTTTTTTCCTTAGCTGACATGTCTCCCATGAGCACAGTTTAGAAACGGCCCCAAGGAGCTGACTAAAGGTGGTTTGTGCTCTTTCTAGTAGTTTTGCACCAAGAACCCATTTTGGTTTTGTGATTTTGTATTTAGTAGTTTTTCCTCTTTGCATAAAACTTTACCCCAAAGAGGGCAAAGGGAGAAACCTTGAGCTCTACCACTTGGCTGGGCCCTGAGACGTATTCCTGCTCTGACCAAATACATTAGGTTTGGGGTTATTCAAGTAAACAAGGAAAAGGGACAAAAGCCACTCTTGCTTATGGTTCAGCAGCCCTGCCCTGCTACTTGGGAGAAAGGATGCACATTTTACAGGTTTGGGAATGCGGAGGTGTCTCGAATGTGGGGCAGACTTCCAATTTGGCCTAAGGCACACCGGGTTCTGTCACATCAGCCTTTGGTTTTCATTAAATACTTAATGATTCCATTTTCCCTTTGACTGTTTGAGCTCTTTTAAGTGAATGCATTATCACCTGCAATATACATTTACAATTAACTTGTTTTCCCTTCCTAAATACACTATATTACTCTAACTCCTAACACTTATAATACCACTGTCATTCATTTTACATATCCATTTTTCAATTACCCAATATGTGATCTTTAATTTAAAAATAAATAAAAACATTCTGTGTATGTGTTTTGCCTAATATATGTTTGTATACGGTAAGTATACGTAAGTATGTAGCACTCAAGTCAGAAGAGGGCACCAGATCCTCTGGGATGTAGTTAGACAGTTCTAAGCTCCATGTGGCTGCTGGGAACTGCTAAGCCATCTCTCCAGACCCTAGTACCTGATTATTATTATTGCTGTAACAGTTCTGTAATATTAAGAAGAAAAATGACATCTTACTTTACCCTCATGCATCGCTTGTCTATTATGCTTCCTTTCTTATATAGAACATCTATTATTCTGTCATATATTTCCTTTCTTTTGAAGAATTTTAAAAAACAGCTCATGTAAGACAGATTCCCCCCAAAAACAAACAAACAAAAACCCTCAAAACCAAAAAAAACCCCCAGCAAGTTTGTTTGAGAAAGTTTTTTTTTTACTTATCACTTTGGTTTTTGAGATGGTATTGATAGGTAGCCATGGCTGGCTTGGATTTTAGTCATTAGCCTTTTGAGTGCTGGTATTCTGGGTCAGCTAGCATGTCTGGCCCCATTTGTGTTTGGGGGTGGTGTTTTGTTTTTTTGTTTCCTTTTCAACACTGTAAATATTTACTTTACATTCTTCTCACTTGCATGGTTTCTGATGTAAGTTATAGCGGTTTTTGTTGTCATTGTTTTAAAATTATGATACTTTTAAGATCTTTCCCCTTTTGTCTTTGGTGTCCCATAATTTGAAGAGGCTATGCCAAAATGAAGATTTTTTGTTGTTGTTTATCTTTTCTTGGTGTTCTCTGAGCTTCCCAGACCCACACTTTGGTGTCTAACTTAGAAATTTCTGAGCTTTTACTGCTTAAAATATATCTTAGGGTTGCCCCAAACCCTTTTTATTCTTTTTTCATCCTTATATTTGAGTCTAGGATGTTTTTGTTGACATATGTTCACTCTTTCCTTGGGTGCATTGTAACTAATGGTATACTTGACAGGAGCATTGTACATTTTCATTTCAGCATCTTTTGTTTCCAGCATTTTTAGAGGAATGACTTCTTAGCTGTCTATGAATCTTCACTTTTCCTTATAATTCTCATGCAGTCTATGGTTTTCCTTTAGTGTCCTTAACAAAAATATTGTAGTTATTTGAAATTTCTACCTGGTAATGCCAATAGTTTGGGATCAGATTTAATGCTTGCTTTGTTTCTTCATTCTACGGCTTTTTACTGCCTTTTAGCATGGTTTTGGTTTTTGCTGAAAGCTAGATAAGAAGTATCAGAGCTGATGAAATTGGACACTTTGTGGAAGACTATTTTAATCTGGATAGGCTTTGGATTGTATTTAATATTGGTTATGGGCACTGTGGTAGTTTGAATGACAACCATAATAATAATCTGAATAAGAACAACACTGATAGGCTCTTATAATTGAGTGCTTAGTTACCAGAGAGTGGAACTGTGAAAGGATTAGAAGGAATAGGAGGTGTGGCCTTGTTGAAATAGGTATGGCCCTGCTAGAGGAACTGTCACTGTGGGGTAAGCTTTGAGGTCTCAGAAGTCCACAACAGTCCGTCTCTCTCTCTCTCTCTCTCTCAATGCTTGTAGATCAGAATGTGACTCTCAGCTACTTTTCCAGCATCATGCTTGCCTGTTACCATGTTTCCTGTCATGATAATGGACTAAGTTAAGTTTCTGAAACTGTAAAGCAAGCCCCCAATTAAATGCTTTCTCTTATGATTACATTTCAGTTTTACTGCACCTGAACATTTCCTACAAGACCATTTTCCCCTTTTCTTTCCTGTGGGTCAGTAAGGCTATTATCAGTGATCTAGAATACTGGGTTTGCTTCTTTTTCCAGGTCAGGTAAGGTCTTGATGAGACAGTTTCTCTTATAGGGCAGGCTTTGCTTTTGTTTTAAAAAATACTATATGTACTTACAATGCTTTCATCTCCCTTTCTTACTGACATAAAAATGAGAGCATTATTCTCTTATCTTCACAAGTACCTGGTAAAATTTCTGAAGAAAGGCTGGATTGCTGGCATGTTGATCTTTTTTTTTTTTTTTTTTTTTTTTTGGTTTTTCGAGACAGGGTTTCTCTGTGTAGTCTTGACTGTCCGGACTCGGTCTGTAGACCAGACTGTCCTTGAACTCACAGAGATCTGCCTGCCTCTGCCTCCTCGAGTGCTGGGATTACAAGCGTGTGCCACTGTGCCAGGCTGCATGTTGAACTTTTATTTTAAACCAGTCCTCATTAGCCTCCATCAGTTTCTTGGAGTTGTTGATATTCCTTTTAAGAGAATAGCTTCTTTCTTTTAATAGTGCATATTTAAGGTTTAATGATCTTTTTAAAAAAAAATTTGGCACGATGGCCCGTTTCTTTTCAATACCGAATAATAACATCATTGGGATATATCAATTTATCCATTTGTCTACTGGAGAACATCTCAGTGCTTCTAGGTTTTGTCAAATACAAAGAGCTTGGCTATCAATCTCCATACTGACATAAGTTTTCAATTACTTTGTGTACTGATAATTACTTTGTGTACTGATCAAGAAATTGCTACATCAAATGATGAGACTATGTTTGGCTTTATAGAAAACTACAAAACTGTCTTCTGAAATGGCCATTCCACTTTGTATTTCTTTTAGCAGTGAAGGAGAATTCCTGTGCACTATGTCCTTACCAGTATTTGGTGTACTCACTACCCTGAATTGGTTCATTATGGACAGGTCCCCATGGTATATGACAAGCAGCGAGTGTGTAATGCTGACTCGCTGTCTTTATTTTGTCTTCTTTAGTAAGGCATTTTTGCATATTCTCAGCCCTTAAAAAATAGGTTGCTGTTTGAATTGTTGACTTTGAAGAGCTCTTTATATATTTTAAGAGAATATCAGGTATGACTTTCCTTTTATTACTTATCTAAGATGACAAGTAAACTAATATAAACAAGATTCTTAATATTTTAAAAAATTTTCAAGTTTTATTATTTTTTTAGCTGAAAGCAATCTCACTAAAGTCTAAATGTCAATAGTCTTGTTTAAACATTCGGTTGGTTTTACAGACAAACCATTGATTACTTTCTTAGGATATTTCTGATACCTGGTAGTTGTCTTTGTTAGGGTTTCCATTGCTGTGAAGAGACACTATGACCAAGACAACTCTTATAATGGAAAACATTCAGCTGAGGCTGGCTTACAGTTTCAGAGGTTTAGTCTATTATTGGAGTGATGGGAAGCATGGCATGGTGCAGGTAGACTTGGTGCTGCTGGAGTGGAGGGTTCTACATTTTCATCTGAAAGCAACCAGGAGACTCAATTCCATACTGGGCAAAACTTGAGCATATATATGACCTCAAAGCCTGCCTCCCCAGTGACACACTTCCTCCAAGGCCCCTCAAACACATGAGTCTATAGGAGCCAAACCTATTTAAACCACCATATTCTACTTCCTGAGCCCCACAGGCTTGTAGTCATAACATGAAGCAAAATGCATCTAGTCCAACTTCAAAAGTCCACATAGATTATCAGTCTCAACAATGTTTAGAAATCCAAAGTTCAAAGTCTATTCTTGCAATCTTTAACTGTAATTACACATCAAATCAAAAGCAAAAAGCAAATCACATACTTCCAACATATCAGGGCACAGGGTATACATTACTGTTCCAAAATGTCATAGTGAGAAAATACAGGACCAAAGCAAGACCAAAAACCAGCTGGGCAAACCCCCAAATCTGCATATCTCTGTTAGCAGCTTTCTTTGGCAGGTATCCCATGGCTCTGGCATCTCTAACATCTTGGAGTATCCAAGGCAGCTTTAACTTCACAACTTCTTGTTCCAATGTCTGGGATACACATATGATCTTCTTGGCTCCTCCACAGGGCTTGGGCTACTTCTCTAGCCCTGCCCTCTGCAGCACTCTAGGCTCTGGATGACTCCACTCTACTGCTGCTGCTGTTCTTGATGGTCATCCCATAGTACTGGCATCTCCAATACGCTGGAGTCTTCCCCGGCCAGTGGGCTGCACTTCTACTAACAGCTTCTCATGGTCTCTCTTCATGGTGCCAATCCTCAACTTCAATTGCCACTGAGAATACACTTTCACCAATGGTCTCTCCTGGCCTCTCATAGTGCCAAGCCTCAGCTGCTCTCCATGACCCCTTCATGCCTTCAAAACCAGGACCATCTGGTGACTCCTACACATTACCAAGTCCAGCTGCCACCATAAGATACAACCTTGGCTATCCATGGAACAGAGCGTGTCTGTGTTCCCAGAAAATACTTCCCAGAAGATTTCACCTCAGTGATACTTGTCTTTACTTAATCATTGCTAGTTTCTTTTTCTTTCATTTATTTATTTATTTATCTATTCACTTTATTCATTTATTCATTTATTTATTTATTTATTTATTTATTTATTTATTTATTTATTTATTTATTTATTTAAGCTTTATCTAACCAGCATCAGTTCTCCAAGTAACTCCTTCTATTCCAGTATCTCTAAAGACAGAACCACTATGGCCAAAGCTGTCAAGTTATGCTGCTTGCTGGCACTAGGTCTCCTCTTTCAATTACATCTTCACCAGTTTTCTGTTTTCAATGGTTTCCTTCACTTGGCCATTCTGGAACCTGCTCTATAGACCTGGTTGACCTTGAACTAAGAAATCTGTATGCCTGTGTCTCCGGAACACTGGGATTAAAAGTGTTTATCACCATGCCCGGACCTAAGCTTTTAATTCCTTTTCACAAGATCTTTCTAAGTTCTGGATTGTAGTTCATTCCAGATATTGTCAAGTTGACAGCTAAGACTAGCCATCACAATCCAGTCCTTCTCAATTTGACACACAATCATAACTCCGTATGTCCAAATGAAAACATTAACCAGGAGATAATAACACCTAACATGATACAGCTAGCTCTCATAAAATTGCAAACATATTAGCAATAAGCTTAGCTGGGTGGGCTCCTGCCCCAAAGGTCACCACTCCCTTAATTTCATTTAATATCCTTGAACATAGGATTTAGCTTCATTTCTACTTCCTGATGCCCCTTTTATCCTTGAACCATTTTCTACTTTTCCTTTCTAAGCTTGCTATGCTTGATCAAAAACCTCTTCATTAAGAGTGAGCTACAAGACAGAGTCTATGCTAGGCTTTTTTGAGATTTCCTTTTGTCAATGCAATTAATCTAAATCTCTCATTGTAGTCTTAGGCAGACTCTTAGGACAAGGCCCCAAAGTAGCCACATCAGGACTGCCCGGATCTCCTTCCTCTGTGGGCTGCCTAAGTTGCCCCATGGGAGAAGGGATCAAGGAGCAAGCAACCAAGTTCATGTCAGAGACTGTCTCTTTTCCCTGGGACCTGATAGTCTTGGGTCAGACAGTAGGGAAGGAGGACTTCCCCTATCAGTGGACTAGGGAAAAGGGATAGGGGAGGAAGAGGGAGGGAGGGTGGAACCGGGAGGAGATGATGGAAGGGGCTACAACTGGGATACAAAATAATAAATTGTAAATAATAATAAAAATAATGAAAAAAAAATGAAGAAAACACACACAGCAGTCACATTCTTGACCAAAATATCACAAGAACAATCTCTAGGCCACATACTAAATTTCTTCTCTGAGGCCTCTTGAGCCAGGTTCCCCCCACACACCCCAAGGTAAAACCATTCTCAGCACCACTGTCTTCCATGCTTCTACTAATATGCCCCATCATTCTACTGCTTTCATAATCCAAAGTCCCCAAATCCACATTCTCTCAAACAAAAACATCGTCAGGCCTATCACAGCATTACCCTAGTCCTTGGTACCAACTTCTTAAGAGTTTCCATTGCTGTGAAGAGACGCCATGATCAGGGAAACTCTTATAAAGAAAAATATTTAATTGGGGCTGACATACAGTTTCAGAGGTTTAGTCCATTATCATCATGATGGGAAGCATCATGACATGCAGGCAGACATGGTGCTGGAGGAGCTGAGAGTTCTATATTTTGACCTGAGGGCAGCCAGGAGACTCAATTCCATACTGGGAAGAACTTGAGCATATATGTATCCTCAAAGCATACCCCTACAGTGACACACTTCCTCCAACACGGCCACACCTCCTAATGGTGCCATTTCCTATGGCTAAGCATCCAAAGACATGAGCCTATGGGGGCCATTCCTACGCAAAACACCACAGAAGTACTCACTATTTAGCTACAAATAATAGTGCAGTAGAGAAACAGAATCATTACTTGCTCCAAGTTTTTGGTAGTGATGTACCAAAGATGGATGAATAGAACGAAGTGAGGAAGACTCTGCAAAAATTCTCATCACCTGAGATCCCTGGGCAGAGCCTGTACCTATTTCTACAATACCTATTTTCCCTACTAACGCTGGTAACAATATATACCTTTTTACATTTTACCTTTCTGAAAATCATCTGACTAGCAAAACATAGTGGAATTGGTATAACAAGTATACAAAACAAGAGTTTAAAAACATTCACGTGCATTTACCATATTTAGATACGAATCTTAAAAGTGAGCAGATAATCCACCAACCTGTGGAGAGAAGCAGTAAGGTCTTCATACAGAGATACTCTTCATAGGACACCTGCAGCCTTTGTAACTCAGAGCACACAAACAGCATGTGTTTACATTGGTCAAACATGCAGGGTAGAGTCATTCTCTGCCTGTGAGACACAAATACAAGTGTGAGTTAGAAAGAAATAGTGCTAGTCTAAAATAATAGCTGAATTTTGGCTTGGTTTTTAAATTTATGAACTCGTGACTAAAAACATACCTACCGCTGTTAGCAATAAACTCCTGGAGAACTAGAATGTTGGAGAACAAGGAGGGACTATTCAACAATAACATGACACTCTAAGTTTTTGTTGTTGCAGAACTGTGAATGCTTTAGTATACTTAAAACCTGATAAGCCAAATGATTCTGGAATCCCTACAGCATACTTTAATGGAAACATTAGAGATTAGTTATTTTTACAGATCTTCTACTTGGCTTATTCCTTTAAAATTATTTCTTTTTTGAGATTTTAATTATATCATCATTGCCCCTTCCCTTTCATCACTCCAAATCCTTCTATATTCCTGTCTTGTCCCCCTCCAAATTGATGGCTTCTTTTTACATTAACTGTTTTTACATACATGTATGTATATTCATATCTATTTCTAAATATATAAGTACAGCCTGCTCAGTATGCATGATGTTATTTGTATGTTTCCAGGGTATGTGTCAGTGGTGCTGAAGCACATGCTGTGCTTGTCCCCGGGGAAACTACTTCTGTGTTCTCAGCCTTCCTTAGTGTCTATGTTCACTTTGTAGGGTTGAGATCTTGTGGGCTTTCCGTCATCCATGTTAGGACATCTAGTGTTGTTGTCTTCGTTTAGTTCTTGTTTAGGGAGGGATACTAGTTTTCTGCATACATGGCAGAAAATGTTTTATTTCCTTTTGCATTTACAAGTTATTACCAGTTACTCATTTAAATCAACATTTGGCTTTTAACTATAGTTATGTCTACAACACAGTTTCTGATCTTACCATTTAAAAATCCGAAGCCACTCCCTGTTAAATGGCATCTCAACCTAAAGACAGCGATGTGTGAATGTTGTGCTGAGGGCCAATATGGGGGCCAATATTAGCACTTAACATCTCAGAATTCATCTTATTTTTGAGGTAGAGTTTCTTACTGAAACTGGAGCTTACTGATAGGCTACGCTGTCTGGCCAGAAAGCCCCAGGGATCCTCCTGTCTATAACTCCCTAGAAACATGTAAGGAGCCACAGAACAGGGACCACTTCTGTATTCTGATGGAGTGAGGGGTACGGCTCAGGCAGTGGAGCGCATGCTTAGAACTGAGCTCAGGTTCAATCCTCATTCCCTTCTTCCTACCAAGACTAAGAATATGCTTTATTTACCTCTAATCCATGGTGGTTATTCCTTGGCCCTAGAACAACATCTAAAGTCTAGTTCACCATGGTTTTGTTGTGTCATTATACAGTCCTCTAAACTCTACCATATTCTGGAGGGCTTTCTTTGAATCCCTCAGTATGGTCAGCTTGCTGCAGTTCTTCACATTTGTTTCTTCTGCCTGAAATGCCCTACACATTCACAGTTTTTGGGGGGTGGCAAGTTGTTTCTGTTTTTTTGTTTTACTTTAATTCTTTTATGCAGTGAATGGTTAGCTACTCAAGACTTCTGGGCTCTAAACCCCCCATCATCTCCACTCCACCCTCACACTATTTTATTATGATTCTATGAAATAATTTTCATCTTCTATTTGAATCTCCCATCATATTGTTCTAAGAGACCTTAATCTATTATCTATTATGCCATTTTATTCCATGTTTTCATAATAGTCCTTGGCTGTGGATAGGTATGTAATACTACTTAAATATGGCAGTAGAAAGGTATAAGTCCCACCAGTGGAGAAGCAATACTCACTTTAACTGGGATGATTAACTGCTTCAGTAAGGGTTTTTCTCTACTTCTTTGCCAGCTATTGAGAAACCTCTGCTGTATCTATCGTCTGAGATGTGGCCCCAAACATATCTGGTAGTAGGTCAAAGAATAGGTGCCTGAGATTCTAGGATTACCTCATAACACATGGCTTCTGGCATACTCCTTAAGAATCTCTTTTTAAAAATACCTGGGGTTATATCATATGCTCCCCACCAAAACACTTAAGATAGAAGGAGCTTATTTGTGTCATTAGTCCAGCCTCTTCCATTTAACATTTAGCTCAAATAGGTACTTTTCTGTAACTCCCACACATTTTTTTTTTTTAAATCTGGTACACACAATAAGGAATGTTTACTGTATTTTCAGACAATCTCTTAGGCCACCCCAAATGCTCTCAAATTCCCTTTCTCTAAACACTCTTATTATTCATCAATCATCACTAGTTTCCAAACTGGTTGCCATTCTGGGCATATTTCAGATGCCCGTCGTTAGTCACAGGATGTGTAACTAAACTCTGCTGCACTCATAGGCCTTATGGCTTTATTCCTTCCGGAGGAACTCTTTCTTTTTTCCTGCCTTTTCGTTTTCCGAGACCGTGTTTCACTGGGTAGCCCTATCTGCAACAGAACTAGCTCTGTAGACCAGACTGGCCTCAAACTCACAGAGATTCACCTGCACCTGACTCTCTGAGAATCTAGTTACATACAATAAAGGATAATCTCTATTTTTGTCAGAGAATTCCTCTTGTACTCTCTGTGTGAATTTATACACATTCTAGGAAAGGATAAACAAATGGCACAAAGGTTACTGATATAAACCAGAAAGTAAAAATAACCAGGGCTATTTGGAAAACAGGTTATATTTGTTGTGAGCTAAGATGTTATGTTTGAAGAATGAGCAGTTTAAGTGTAGACAAAGAACATTTAAAAAGAATAACCAGAAAGAAAGCGAGGATGTGCTGGGTGGGCAGTGACAGATTAGAACTGTGCTTAAGGAGGAAAGCATTAATCAACACAAAAAGTTATAATGGAGGTAGAAAACCTGTGAGCAAAATACTGCATGAGGCCAGGAGGTGAGCACCTGCCATAATTCACAAATACTGGCAAAGATTTACAGGATAAGGCAATGGCTAACTTAAAACTGTGAGTTGTGGTAGTTACTCAGTTTTAAAAAGTCACAATACTGTTTCTTTATATTCATCCTTTTCTAGACATCATTTTTTTTAGACATGATCTCATATGGCCCAGGCTGGCCTCACACTTGTTTTACCTTAGGATAATCAAGAATTTCCTATATCCATGTTTTCAGTGTTAAGAGGACAGGTGGGCTCGCCACACCCAGTCTTGGCTGTGCTGGGGATCAAATGGAAGGTTTCCTGCACGCCAGACAATCACTACCAACAGAGATACATCCCTAGCACAGTTCTCATGCTCTTTCCAAGGCATGGCTGTTGTAAGCCTTGCAATACCAAGAGATACCTCTTGTCTCTGTGTCTGTACTACCACATCCACTCAGGAGGAACATCCTCATTGTTCCTATTGGCCACACATGAAATTTTATCAGACTCATTTTGTTTTCTAGATTAGGGTTATATAATTATATAGTAGTACAATAAGATTATTGTTATTAATCTCAAATTCCAGAGATGCTCAAGGTGTAAAAGTTTTTTGTTTGTTTGTTTGATGATTTTTGTTTGCTTTTAAAAACAGATCTTCAATTATGTAGTTTTGGCTGATCTGAACTCAGTATGTAGCCTTGGCTGGCCTGGAACTCACAGAGATCCACTTGCCTCTGCCTCTGGAGAGCTAGGATTAAAGGTGTTTACTACCACACCCAGCTAGAGTAAAGGTACTTTTAAACATGTCCTAAGATGATAATCATGGTATGTATGCATATTCTCTATCCTACAATTAATCTACCTTCTACCCCAAGCACTAATGAACAACTGCTTCATGTCTGTCCATATCCTAGAGAGCAGCTAAGACTGATTCAGTCCCATATTATTATGATAGCCCTTTAAGAAATCGTCAGCTGGTTAAAACACTGTATGACTGAATTCAGGGCAAGTGTCTCACATGTAACTTACTCATTAATAATCAGATCAGGAGCAAAGCACAGCAGGCTTCCCCCTGCTTGTTTGTATGATCTCCAACCCAGGGCAAATGCCATGAGGAACATCCATGAGTATTGCAGGAGGGTCATTTGGTCATCCAGGTGTAAGTTCCTGAATCCTACATTGGAAATAAAGGTACAAGGAAACATTACAGTTGATCAGTTGGCCTTTAATAGACAGCCATCCATCAGATCTACCCCTGTGCATTCAGAACTCTGTAATGGTCTAATAAAACTTATAAATAGATATTTTTAAGTCATTTTTGTCTATTTAAGTGTACATGAAGTAATATAGTAAAAGAGAAAGGCAAGAGTCTTTGCTTAGGGTATTTTTTGATTTTGATTTTTTAAACTTCACTGATATCCATCTTCCTTTCCTTTCCTAATATGGTGGGGGTGATGGCAGCTTAGGTGTGTGTAGCCATAAGTTTGCCAATCAATCTCCTATAAATCAATCTCCTGTAAAGTCATTGACATTGACTTCTGCTTCACCAAAGCTCTAACATGAAATTTTTGTTTAAAAGTCCCTTAAAAATTAGATGAATTAATATTCAACATGTGAGATTTCATTTAATGAAAAACCAAAATATTTTGTTAGTAAATTTTGAAAAATTCAACACACCATTTACCAACTTCAAAAACACTCTGAATGAGAATAAATGGAATTCCCATATGTTCTCTCCCAGGTGTCATTGTGAATAGAATTTGAGTGAGATCTGATAATATAAGATCTTATCTACAATGGAATGCTACCTGTGACCTGAAAACCAGGGAACAGTATCTACAGTTTACTATGGACTTCTCATTTGTCCTTATGAGCAAGAGAAGCATTTGTGGTGGAGATCAGGCAGGATGATACACAGCCTAAAGAATCTTAGAGCAGTTCTATTTTGCAGGGTGCTAGAGCCTGACCCACTGCTTGTGTACAGTAAGCAAATGGCATACCACTAAGTTCACACACACAGAGCCCAGCTCAGAGTGTTATAGTTCTGTCATCTTTCATGTCTTACCTGGTATTGCCTTTGCCCATTTCACTGCTGCAATCACTTGGCGCCCACCTAACATGTTGAGTGTGGACATAAGTCTCCAAGATGAATCTGGAATAGAGCTATCATATCCTGAAAATATCACCTCAGGTTCAATCACCTCCAGCAGTGACACCAAGGTAGGAGTAAGTTGTGGTAATGTTGCTGGAACTATTGTTTTGTTGGGATTTTCCGAAGCGTCTTGGGAGGCTCCTGGAGTAGCTTGCTGAATCCCTTTTATTTTTTTCTTTGTTTTTCGAGCTGTGGATTTTGAAAAAAAAAAAAAAAAAAAAAAAGAAATGTACTAAATCAACTCTATAGCCCAAACTTTCTAATTATAAGAGGTGTTTAATTTTGGAAACTCCTATTAAGAGAAGTAAACTCTTTAAACATTTTGACACATACAATGAATGTGTGTGCACATGTGTGAGTGTACTCTGCACACATGCATGTGTATTGTTCAAGGCACAGGAAGAAGTTAGGTGTCTAACCTGTTACCCACCACCTTATTCCTTTTCAAGAAGGCTCTCCCATTGACCTTGGAGCTAGGCTGGCAGCCAGTATGCCCCAGAACAACTCCTGTCCCCACCTTATCCCTCAAAGTGCTGTGATTAGTAGAAATGAACACAGTTATACCCAGTTCTGATGTGGATACTGGAGCACACACTTGGGTCTTCATGCTCCCTAGCAAATGATCAAACCTACTGAGCCATTCTGTCAGCTCCAGAAGTCTTTTATTAGTAATTGCATGATATGGCATGGAAAAGGAGAAATTCTGTTTCTGGAAGGGAAAGATCCCCATAACTTGTTTCCTCTAAAAGTGAGCCAGTAGTTTACTGTCACCTTAAACTTCTGATCCCCCTTCCTAGATTGTGTTGCCTTTTATTCTTCTCAGTTTTTATTAGTTTTTTGAGAATTTTATACAATGTATCTTGAACATATTTTACTCTTTTTCTAACTCCTCCCAGATCCATACCTGCTTCCCAAATCACCCAACTTTGTGCTCTTGCCTGCTATTTTTTTTAAATCCATGAAGTAAAATTTGTGCTGCCCACATATGTGCTCTTGGATGTGTGGCCTTCCACTAGAGTGGGGGGACTTAGCAGGAGCCACATTCAGTAGTGTGTGGGACTGTGGGCCCTTTCCCCTTCTCTAGGCTGAGATCTTCTGTGGCTTGGGCTCACACAGGTCTTGTGCGTGCTGTCATGACTGCTGTGAGTTTGTATGTGTAACTTTCCTGCTGTGTTTGAAAAACACTCTCCTTGTAGTCATCTAGTGCCTCTGGCTCTTACAGTCTTCCCAGCCTCTCTTCCTTGATGGCCCCTGAGACTTGAGAGGAGGGCGTGTGACACAGATGTCCCATTTGGGACTGAGCACTCCTCTGTCAACATTAAACAATCTGGATGGACTAAAAGCTCTGATAATGGTTGGGGGATTAGTAACACACTCTACGGTAGGCAGAACTGGAAGTCTCTCCTATCAAGAGAACGAAATGAATACCATTCTCTCAGTATTAGCATCTTTTATCCAAATTATCGCTACTCTCATTTCTTTGGTCTTTCAATATAAAATTAGTCTTCTAGTTTAAGGCTTAGTTGTTATTTTTAATTATGTGTATGCATTTTTCTCTGTGAGGGGGTATGTGTACAGACTGTAGGAGTCTATAGAGCAGTACAGGATGTCAGACCCCCCCCCCCGGAATTGAGTTACAGGCAGTTGTGAGTTGCCAAAGGTGGGTGTGGGAAAGTGAACTTAGGTCCTCTGCCATTTGTCCATTTCTCTAGCCCAAGGAGTAGTCTTTGTAAAAATACAAACTCGACCACATCTCTGTCATCACTGCTCACCTGATTCCTGCTCAGTGTATTTATAATTTGCTACTTCTCCCAGGATGAGTTCCCTGACTTTCAGGACAGAAGCTGATGGTCATCCCTCTCCATTCCGTAGCAGTACTCCTTTTGTGGCATCCCATACTAGTTTGTGATCAACTTTGTAGCTTACAAAGTAAGCTGCTCAAACTCAGGAGCTGAGTTTGTCTTCTCTTTATACTTGCTTAATATTTGCTAAGTAAATCACCACAGTAACAATAAAAACTAACAACATGAGTTATAAGAACACTGATTTCAGAGAGCTCACTATTTCAACTACAGCAAAATCCCAAACTTTCCCAGAGAAAAGTTTTTAAGTAAGATAAGTGTATCAAATTATAAGCAATTTTTGGTTTTCTTTTATACTTAAAACACAAAACAATCCATCCAATGCCCCCTTACAAATTTTTTTGGCAAACCTGTAATAAAACATATGTTTTCAATAAAAGATTTTTGAAAGAGAGGAACATGAAGTAGATCTCTAAAACACAATACTTTGCTAACCTTAGGGACTGGTTTTGAGTTTTTAAAAAGGAGTAAGAAAGATGAAAACAAAATTGCTTGGAGTTATGTAATTTTTATCTTAGATTTTTTTAACTTATTTTTCCTAATTTATTCACTTTATATCCCAACTGTAGCCATCTCCCTCCTCTCTTCCCGGTCCGTCCCTCCTTCCCTCCCTCCTTCTTCCACCCCATTCTCCTCCTCTAATCCTCAGAAAGTGGGGAGCCCTGCTTCCCTACCTCTGTCCTTAGCATATCAAGACTCACAGGACTGCCTGAATCCTCTTCCTCTGTGGCCTGGCAAGGCTGCTCCACCAGGGGTTAAGTGATCAAAGAGTGTGCAACAATGAGTCCATGTCAGAGACAGCCCCTGCTCCCTTACTAGGGAACCCATATGAAGACTGAGCTGCCTATTGGCTACATCTGAGTAGGGAGTTTAGGTCCTCTCTATGTATGGTGCTTGGTTAGTGTATCAGTCTCTGTAGGGCTCCCTGGACCCAGATTTGTGGGCTCTGTTGCTCTCCTTGTAGAGCTCCTATCCCCTCCTGGTCTTTCTATCCCCCAATTCTTCCATAAGCCTCCCTTTGCTCTGCCCAATGTATAGATGTGAGTCTCAGCATCTGCTTCCATCCTGTACTCTCTCTTCATCTGTGCTGGCGTCTATTCTATTTGCTCTTCAACAACCTAGATGTGCCTCAACTGAAGAATGGATAAAGAAATTGTGGCATATTTACACAATGGAATACTACTCAGCAATTAAAAACAAGGAAATCATGAAATTTGCAGACAAATGGATGGAACTAGAAAAGATCATCCTGAGTGAGGTAACCCAGAAACAGAAAGACACACGTGGTATATGCTCACTTATAAGTGGATATTAGCCATATAATACAGGATAGCCATACTACAATCCACAGACCTAAAGAAGCCAAGTAACAAGGAAAATCCTAGGCAGGAGGCTTAATTTTCATTCAGAGGGGCAAATAGAGTTATGCAGTTTTCAATACTACGTAATTTCTTAAGATATACCCTGGCTGTCCTGAATTCAACGTATATCACAAAAATGCATGAATTAACACGTAAAATGCTATTATCATGGAAAATAATCCTATTTTATTGGAAAATAATATAACATTAAGCATATGTAGAGTTCATTAAATGATTGCATCTACTTGCTTTTATAAAAATTAAAGTGCTCAGTTTTCATGTGGTAGGTAGATAGTTCCTTTTAGGTTCCATTACCTTCAAGGTTCATTCCAGCTTGAAGACATTTTCGATAGCGGCATGCTGGGCAGTTTTTTCTTCGAATTTTATCAATGATACAATCATTTCTTCCAGCACAAAGATAATTGTGCTGCCCTATGAGAGAAAAAAAGGGCATTGTTAAAATCCCACAGATCTGTAAGGATATTTTTAATGAAAAGCCTTGCTACTCTTTATTTTTCTTTTGAGCAGAGTGTGATAAAGACACAAAGTCACTGACTAAGGAAGGTAGTAAGGAAGTAGACAGTGTAAGGATGATAGACAGCTTGTCTACATGAGCCACAACGTTGAGAGGACTGTTCTGAGCAATCCTTACTGCAGCATTTCATACACAGATATGTACAAACGCTAAGATCAAAAGACAGAATTGTATTGTAAACACTGTGCCAAAGGTCAGCACTTTAAAAACTATCTTTTATAGTTCTCTTAACAGTTATAGACGGTGTCTATAACCACTGTTTTTATTATGACTTCTGACCTATTGCTGAAATAACTGAAAAGGAAGCAGGCTTAAAAATATTTGTGAATCTCTAAATAAAAAAAAAGAATGACTTTTTCCCCCTTTGGTTTTTTGAGACAGGGTTTCTCTGTGTAGACTTGGCTGTCCTAGATTTGCTTTGTAGACCAGGCTGGCTTCAAACTCACAGAGATCTGCCTGCATCTGCTTCCCTGACTGCTGAGTAAAATAAGTTCTTCCCAATTTAAATGTAGTAAAATATTACATATTACCAGCAACTGGTTAGGTAAATCACAACCTTTGCAAACTAAACAAACTTACAAAGATCACTATTTAATATGCTTTCAGAATAGAAAAATGTTTGGAGACACCTTTGGCCTCAAATACTGACTTAAAGAGTGCCAGAGTCAAAAAAAGAAAAGAAAAGAATGCTACTGTCTAAATTTTCTGGTACCCAGTATTGAAGAACATACTAAGAAATGCAGTTCTTTCCTGGTGAAAATTTCAAAGAATACTAAAAAGGAAAAGGCTAACAGTGTTTCCATCTCCCACACCCACCTTCTCATTGTCTTCTTTTAATGATTATTAAATGCTGATGAGAGCAACTGAAATATCTTTTTGCCTGTAAGGTGGGAATAGAAGTTTCCTATACAAGACTTGCTTATCTATACTGATACACCAATAATTAACATTCTGGGTTACTTATACTAGATGAGATGGCAAGACATTGAGAAATGTGGGACATTTCTCAAGAATAAATCATATTCAAAGAAATGAGAAAGAATTATAATGACCAGTTTACCAGGTTGAACATATCTAGACCTGATTTTTTATTTATTTTTTTAATTAGTTACAGTTTATTAACTTTGTATCCCAGCTGTATCCTGCTCCTTCATTCCCTCCCATTCCCACCCTCCATCCCTCATCTCCTCCCTGCCCTTTTCCAAGTCCACTGATAGGGGAAGACCTCCTCCCCTTTCATATGACCCTGGTTTATCAGGTATCTTCAGGACTGGCTGCAAAGTCCTCCTCTGTGGCCTAGCAGGGCTGCTCCTCCCTCGGGGAACGGGGAGGTCAAAGAGCCTGCCATTGAGTTCATGTCAGAAATAGTCCCTGTTACCCTTACTAGGGTACCCACTTGGATACTGAGCTACCATGGGCTATATCTGAGCAGAGGTTCTAGGTTATATCCGTACATGATCCTTTGGTTGGAGAAACAGTCTCATATAAGACCCCTGTGCCCAGATATATTTGGTCCTTGTGGCACTCCTGTAGAGGACATATTAACTCCCCCTTCTTTCTTATGATTCCCTGCACTCTGCCCAAGGTTTGGTTATGAGTCTTAGTATCTGCTTTGATACACTGCTAGGTAGAGGCTTTCAGAAGCCCTCTGTGGTAAGCTCCTGTCCTGTTACTTGTTTTCTCCTACTTCCAATGTTCATCCCATTTGCCTTTCTAAGTGAGGGTTGATCATCTTATCCCGGGTCCTCTTTCTTGTTTATCTTCTTTAAGTGTATAGATTTCAGTATGTTTACCCTATCTTATAGTAGACCTGATTTCTAAGAGACTTTTTGTTGTTTTTGTTATTGGTTAAAGTAACCTAAGACTTGAATTGAAAAAAAAATTAGTTTTTCCTGTTAAGTCAAGATGCTGTTTAAATGAGTTTGGAGTACACGGTTAACTTTATCAGTTTAACCTTTTGTGAAGATGAGGCTACAAAGTTGACTAATGTTTATTTATATATATTAGCTATATAGTTTTATAATATTTTATTTCAGGGTTATTCTCCAATGCCAAATTACTGTGCTAGCTCTTTCAAATCCTCTCTGTATTCTGTAAGCTTCCTGGTTCTTGGACACAAAATGGAGGAGCAAACCCAATAAAATAATATTTTATGGGATTGGAGAGATGGTTCAGCAGTTAAGAGCACTTGCTGCTCTTGCAGAGGATCGGGGTTCAGTTTCCAACATGTACAGAGCAGCAGCTCACAGCTCTCTGCAACTCCGGTTCCAGGGCAACACACGCCTTCTAGCCTCTGCAGAGGCCAGGCACCCACATGCTGTTCACACAAGTAAACGTTTATACATATAAAATAAAACCAAGTAAATACTTTTAAAAATCCTACCATGCAAGAAAAGGAGAAAGATCAGATTTGCAGCAACAGCTAAAGCACTAAAATTTCACCCCTATATCCCTGTCTTGTAGAATATCCTGATCTGAGTGTCTAGCAGTTGCCAGAAAAATGGTGAAAAACTAATTCTCAACTAGAAATTCAGTGTTTCATTTATGTCTAACAAAAGATTAGGCTATGCATATTATGTTGATATTGATTTCTTTATCCAGGGTGTGGCGTAACTGAGAGTCTTAGGTATAGGCCCAGGCTATTATAATAGTATGATGTTCAACTAGTCAATTCCTTCCCTATTGCAAAACAAGGGATTTGAGCTGGTGTTTGCTATTTCACAAGGAATGGCCATGTACTTCTAGTTACTAATAGTAATTTCCTAATCATCCTTTTATGACAGATATCTTCAATTCCTCTCTTTTCTGCCAACTGATAAGTTTCCATTTTAACTTCTTGATGTCAAGTGAAGAGCCTTCAGACCATCTGAAGCCTCTTAATACTGCTGTTCACTGGTACTTTTGGTTAAATCTACCTTCAGCATGTGACTGTGGCTTGCCATTCATGGAATCATGATAGGTGGAGTAGCCAGCCTACAAGATACCCCAGTGATATCTGTCTCTAGCACAGAGTAGTCCCTTCCCATACCATACCAAGACTGCACCAAACAAAGAGGTATAGGAAATGGGAAGCACCACAAAGGGCATGTGTAACATGCAGGCTACAAGCAGTACTGGAAGTATCTGAGTATCAAATATAAACTAATACTATCAGCTTAATTAAGCTTCCATAGCTCTTCTTAGTAGCGGTGTTATAGTGGACGTGGATTTGTGATATGTCAAGAAACTAATCTTGGAAACATTAACTGTGTGTAGTTTGTTCTCTTACGAAGTATTGGAAATTTTGCCAAGCTTAGAGGAAATTCTGCAGATGACAGTGTTCAACGCACCAGACGTACTCAGTATGTGGCAGCTCGTGGTTAAATCTCTTGATTACTTGTACTTACTCATTCTACTTCTGATCCTTATTCCCTTCCCTTGCCAATGGAGGACTCATGAGCCACTATGTCTAGCCTTGGTGGACTTTGTGTATGATGGACAGTTCAAAATGTATTGTGAGAAACAGAAGCAAAGTAAAGCAAAGATGAAACTCTTCAAAACACACACTACCTTCCACTGCTCTTTTGAAGAACACTTTACAGCTTCCACATGTCAGCACTCCATAGTGGCACCCTGAAGCTTCATCAGAGCACACCAGGCAGAGTTTGGGAGGCGGCCCCGTCGCTGTTGAGGAGCTAGATGGAGGAGAGCTTACATCTGGTCTCATTCCAGGGCTACAAGAGGAAGAAACACAGTGTTAGGATTGTCTGAAAGAAATGTCCGAATATATCTCTTTTCCCTTCTCATTCCACGTCGGCATGTTCACACTGAATTCTGTCTTTTAAGGGATAACAGACACCAGAATACCCTATCTCAATATATTGAAACATATTATTTTTCTATATAAAATATGAAATGCAAGATGGCTCAGTGGTTAAGATCATTTGCCCAGCAGGCCTGAGTTCAAATCCCTACCACCTTCTTAAAAAGCAGAGCATAACTGTGCATGCCTATATTGCCAGCCAATGGGGAACAGAGACAGGTGGATATGAAGGGCTCCCAGACAGCCTAACTAAAACAGAGGTTCCCATTCAATGAGAGCCCCTGTCTCAAGGACAAAGGCAGAGAGTGATAAAAGATACCCTATGTACTGGGCTGGTCTCTACATACCTTCATACTCCCATGGATGTAAAACATACACACAACAGTAAACAAAATATGAAGTGCAACAGTCAATTCGTTTTCTGGCTTTTAAACAAAATGTTGTGGTTTACTTAGCATATAATTGCTATTTAAAATATGCATTATTTGCTAGGCGTGGTGGCACAAGCCTTTAGTCACAGCACTCAGGGAGGCAGAGGCAGGGGGATCATTTTGAGTTCAAGGTCAGCCTGGCCTACAAAGTAAGTCCAGGACAGTCAAAGGTACACAGAGAAACCCTGTCCTGAAACAAACAAACAAACAAACAGACAGACACACATTATTTTCTAAGTGTACAATTGGCAAGATTAAAAAAAATGGATTAGACCTATAATTACTATTAAAATCAAGAAAGGATATTTCTACCACACCCCCAAAATTCCTTCTAGCCTTTTATTGCTTTGGACATGATCTTTTATTTCTTCTTAATTTTAAGATCTTACATTAATTAATAAGTCTTCTTATCATTATATCCATGCTCTATACTACAGAAAAATTACATACCAGCTTAGAGTTTGATCCTAGCTGAAACAGTAGTTTCTTCAGTGTATACTGGAAAACCCTCTATTTTTCTATTTGAGAACAACCAGTGTGCTCTCTCTCAATCAAAATACCCCAACACAAACAGTGGAAAGTGGGAGTCTGATGCTCTGACCAGGATTCCTGGTCCACTCTGCAAACATGTCACCACCATAGAATGTAATGTGTAAGGTATAGCGTTATTATTAAAGTTCTTATTGAAAGTTTTTATATTTTCAGAGAATTTGAGAGAACAACAGATACTAATCTTTTACCTAAAGTAGTAAGGCAGGAGATAAATTAACTATTGCATTTTGTATTAATTGGTAATGATGATTTTCAATAGTGAATTATCCTAAGGAACTCTTATCACACATGGTGACCCTAGAAAGGAAAAGATAAATATTGCTAAAAAGAATCTCTAGCCTTCTGTTTCAGATTACACCAGCTATTCCTTATCTTGTTATGTATTCTCAAACAGACTGAAAAAACATGGACAGAGCCCCATGTGGTGGCACACGCTTTTAATCTCAGGGAGGCAGAGGCAGGCAGATATTTGTGAGTTTGAGGCCAGCCTGCCCTACAAAGTGAGTCCAGGACAGCCAGAATTATACAGAGAAACCCCGTATCGAACCCCCCCACACACATATGAGAGAGAGAGAGAGAGAAAGAAAAATATGTTATAATGCTTTTAACTAAGTCATTAAACCCAAGGTTCACCCTGCATTTAATCCTCACAGGAAGCCTCCTGCATGTTGCCAACTGTCTGTTTATCCAGTGGCTTAGTCAATAGGGCAGCACTCCTACCACCTATTTCTGGGAATAGGTCTAGGGTGTCACATTGTTCTGTGAGCACTGTCAACAGACTTTCTGCTTGTTTCCACATCACAAGATAGTGATTCCTTGCTAGATTTGGGCAAGTGGACCTGACTATATTATAAGGGCCTCTAATAGAGTTGAGTCTCCTGAAATGACTCTGCTGTGGTTGGGGACAGCCTCTGGTGAAAGCAGGCTTGTAAGGTAAAGCTGCTGCTCTGGGCCAGAGTTCTATGGTGACATGGGAAGATCCTGGGATGAACACAGATGGTAGCAATGTTCTAGGGGAGAAAAACCTCCCCAGCTTCTGTTCTGACGATGCTCCTATTCCCGTTCAGGCAATCTCTTCTCATCTGACATCTATTTTTAGGGATCAGGAAGTTTCTTGTATATATTTAGTTTATGGAAAATGAACACATTTTTAAAGATTATTAAGGTCAATTCTATAGTGTTTCCTATATAGTTTTATATATAGTATTCATATATGTATAAAATATATGTATATACTTGCACTTTAAACAGTATTTGTGGTACATCATGTTCATGAACAGACTGTCACTTATCCTCTCACCAACCTTGTGATAAGATGTCACCATCCCTAGATGAGGTCATACAAACAATGGCACATGGTTGGCCAGAGAGAATACTTACTTGTTTCAGATCCCAGCAGTCCCACATTTGGAAAGTATCTACTACTTTGAGCTTTAAGTTTTCATCAGTAAGCTAAGAAGTGAATATGTTTTGACACCAAAATAATGCTTTAGGAGTCTTGTATATTGTTTTCACTGGCAGCAAGGAATCGAAGGATACATGTTCATTATTTTCTTATGGAAAATAAGCCTTAAGTCTAAAATGTAATGCCCCACATTAGTCCCCAAATTATCACATAGAAATTAGAATATATGCAAAACATGTTCAGGCCATCAAGTGTGATCTATATAGATGGCAAATAGGAGAGTTAAATCAGTGTAGATCTGAGAGTCTACGTCAGGCTCATGTAGTCAGGTAGACTACATCAGACAAGAACTCAGCACATGGAAAGCTGCATGGAAGGCTGTGTACCACAAACATAGTGTGGGAAAAAAATCAGCTTTTGTCACACAAAAGGGACTGATTTGATCTATACTGACCATTTTCGTAAGAAACAGATTAATATAGCTGCAAATATTATTTGCTATGGCATTGGTAAAAAGGGCTAGGGTCCAGCAAAGTGGCTAGTTCTCCAAGGAAAATAACAGATATCTTTTAATAAAAAGCTATGGTAGAAATTAAAGTTATACTGTGGTAACTGAATAGTTCACCTGTTGTTCTTATGACCACTAACAAATGCTAATAGCACAAGTATTTATTACTCTATTTTGTCACATTTTAAAAAGATACATCAATACATAGGTTGATATTTACAGAAAGATTTTTTTCTTTCTTTCTGAAGGATGTTCGGTAGACTTGACACTTTATGTATGAAGGAACAGTGAATACAATGACTGTTAAATGTTAGGTCCATCAGTGCAAGTATTATCGCAAAAATATTCTGATAGGGTCTTGGGGACTCTCAGGGGTCTTTAGAATACACTGTGAGAATCGATGCCATGGAGAACATAGAGTGATAATACAATAGCTTGGTAATAATTTAGTATCTATAAATTCTCAATTGTCCTATTTATAAATGGAACTATTGATGAACTGAGCAAAAGGTAATGGTATTGTATACTAAACTTGAAGCTTTTTTTCTATAGTGTAAGATGTTAAACTTTTACAAACCCAAGTGTTGTGGTTGGTTTAGCCTTCAATTTAGGTGAATTATATCAACAATTTTTTCAATGTTGTGCAAGAAATCCACCTCAGAAAACAAGTATTAACTACCATGAGAAAATCTTGGAAATACAACTGCCATCACTGGATTAATTTTTAACAACTACTAATGGAATAGGTACAGTATTATTGGCTCGTCAGTTTTGCCCAAATGCCACAATTTTGTTCCTGGGGGGGTATCTGGTAATATCTGAAGGTACTTTCTCACAAATGGGGGGAAGCTACCTTTGTGAGGGACAATAGGTCCAAGACGTGGCAAACACCCTCCAGTGCACGAGAGAGCCCAGAGCAGAATTACCTAGTTTAGGTGTCAGCAGTGCTAAGACTGAGGAGACTTTGTCAGGCTCCAGCACATAAGCTCTTATGGATAAACAAACAACCAGAAGCAGAACCATTTTAAAAGTGTGTGGTGCCCATTCTGAATGGATAAACCTAGAACACAACCCCTACAGCTAAGACTCAGAGACTATCTTGGAAGAGAGAACTAGAAGCCTGTCAGAGCCAGAGGACAGGACATCTGCTATAAGACAGTATCTTCGATATGAACAGGAAAGTTGTACCCATGAAATCGCAATGATATGCTCACCTAAATAAGACCCGAATGAGGACCATACCAGCTGACATGCCAGTGTGGAAGGAGGCTATCTCACAGGGTTCCACCGCTAGAGGAAAAGCTATAGGCTCTGACTGCTGAAAGAGAATCGGTCTGTATCAGCCATGTGCCCTCTACTTGGTTATTAGATACCAAGTAGTCATCCCTCACACCTATACACCCGAGCAACGGTAGTGTACTCAGCACGTTAGAGTTTAAACATGCACCAGTAACTAAAAAAGCGGCCATAAATTCGAGACGGAGTGGGGGTTGGAGATGACATGGTGCAGTTGGAGAGAGGAGGGAAATATAAATACAGTCGTCATATATGAAATTCTCAAATCTACCGCTGAACATTTTTTAAAGGGATGATCGCTCTCCTGAGGTGGCCACTGTAGCCTTTGACTTCAGACAAGTCCAAAAAGAGGTTCAGAATGGAGCTGAAGCCAGAGACTATACAGGCCTGGTTATCAACGACAGAATTAGCTTGAGTCAGTAATTTAATATTCCCCTCTAGGGCTAGCAGTAAAAGGTGGATTTTACACATTAGAGTCACCTGTACTTTTCTTATCTGTTCATTAGAAAATATGTAAACACTCAGCTGAACACACCAGGTGACTATATTTTCTGACTGTTTTTCTTTGCTTTAGCTAAAAGATTACTGATTTGTTTAATAATATGTGATGTAGTAGCTTTCATATGAATATAAAAGTACTCAAGGGGAGACTTTCCCTACATTTATGTCCTATGATTTCAGTAGGATATATTTTATCTTCTTTTAGCAATGTAAGAAAA